AGGCAATGTACTCGTCTTCAGAACCAAAGAAAGTTATGTCATGTCTGTCTAACTGGTTATCATCCGTGTGACCCTGATAAACCCGAGCTTCACTGAGACAGATTGGCACACCATTGAGATGCAAGGGAAGACGGATTGATTTTGGATCTAATCTCATTTCCTGTTGGAACCTATAAATCTTTTGGTTGTTGTAAGAAGCCAATAGTTGCCCCATCTTCGAATACGCTATGCCTTTAATGCAAGCAGTACTTCCATTAGCTAGATCACGCGGCAAGTAAACTTTATCAAGACCATTCAAAACCCTGGTATCGTAAACTCTGACATATGGATCATTTCCACAGACGGTAATGCACATAGGATCGTCAGGATTCTGTAAGATGCCATTCAATCTAAGGCGAAGTGGTGGGTTGTTTTCAAACCTATAACACTCCAAGAGATTGGTAAGATGAGGGCTTCGGATGTCAAAACATTTGATGAACGCATCTTGTCCACAGGAATAACCCAGATTCGGATTGTCAGTGTCTCTGATAAGACCGCTGACAGATTCGATATGACTGCCCAATCGTGTAATTCCAACTCCACCATTGTGGTGGAGATGTGCAAGAAAGACCTGAAAAATTAAGGAGAAACATTAGCATCCTTATTCAATAACAATTAAGTGTATGTGTTGTGAAAATTACCCTGCCGTTTGAAAGCGAAAATATTATCTTCCCCTCATCAGTCATAACAGCAACTTGCGTTATTGGTATTTGAGTACTCCTTTGGAAGGATATTGTGTCCTTCTCTAAAGTCTCAGTATTCCATCGACTTAAAAAGTGTGATCCAGAGAGTAAGAATCCCCCGGTTGGACTGAAAGCAATGCAGCCAATCGGAGCAATTCTAGATACTGCTGCTTCTCCGTGGTTAAGTGATCCACTAAAATAAATTCTAGATACCATTATATCCGGGTGCATTATGCTGGACCTTTTCGAGCCCTTCTCTCTGCTGAACAATTTCTCTACTATACTCATGGTGATATAGTGCCACTCCCTTATTTCCTACAATGAATCCCATTGTAATGCCAGATCATTACAGGCAGGAAAATGATTTGAACAGAGTTTAACACACACATTGACACTTAATCAATTCAATTATTTAAGTATAATATAAGTACAGCTGACAACTAGTTCTTCCATACTTCATGCATGGCTATACGAATAAAGCATTATTCCCATATTAACACTTCTTTCAGAGACCTCTTCCTAGATCATAACACAATCAATAAAAATCAACAACTTTGTTTGCCTGTTAACTAAGTTATAAGCAAAATTTTTACATTAGAAACAATTACTCTACAAATTGACATCACATCCATTCAAAGTTCAAAACAGGAATAAACTAAAATGAAGAACAAAACAAAGAAAATTCCAAAAATAGAACACCTGTTGATTCGAAATAGCAGAATCTCATTAATAATAATAATAATAATGACAAGAGTAAAGAATCCAGGACCATCATCACAAAATCCAACTTCAATAAGCTAACTACATCAATCAACAATAGCTAAGACTAAAACTAACATAGTATTTTAACATATATTCCAGCAAAAAACCAAAAGAAGAAACTTGAGCCAGGTTCCCTAAGGAAGGAATCTCAGCTCTAAATCCATTCTTCCATATTTTGAACAAACTAATCACAAAAGAAGGAAGAATACAAATACCTCAAATAAAACTAATTAGGAAAGAAGAAACGAAAATACCTGTAATCAAAGGCCAAAATTCAATTGCAACCCAACGAGTCTTTAACCTCGTCAATCGGCGCCATTCGTACTGACACCTACAGCCCGTTTGCTCGGACACCCAAAATTCGTTACTGGGGAAGTAATCTAATTGGAAGAACAATTGAGGAACAATATAGGATCTATGTGGGTCAATTCCACCACTGAGAGAAACCAGGTTCTTCCCCATTAGTTCGTGAAGGGAGACTTAAAACGAGACAAGAGGGATGAGGCTGAGACTGTTTATGCAGATCAAACCTATGTGTGACCCTGAGATGAAATTTAAGTAGGTGAACTATATAAGTGAAACTTCAAAAATACCCCTAAATAATTGCAATTTGGCTGGGTTTTGTGTCATTTCTTCTACTTTTCAGTCACTCGCATATCTTGATTGTTGACTAACGCAAGCTGCATTCATGTCTCCTTCCGATAATCTCATCTGTAATTAAAAACCTTCTCCGTAAAAAATAAAAAATAAGAAATAAATAAAAAAAACTTTCTAGACTAATAAAAAACTAAAAGTATGTAAAATATAAAAAGACAGTCAGGAATTTTAAACTTAGGCGAGGCAGTAGCCCAAAACTGGGCATGAACATCAAAGATAATTAGAAGTTAAAACTTACAAAGCAAATACTACTAAATTCAAAAGAATGTACTCCTAAACTTCCCAGAATAGCAGAAAAGATGCCAATTTTAACTTTTTCTCTGAAAACTTTAAAAGATAAAATCAAATTAGCCATCTTCAATTCTACTTAACCTATTGGCAGCTCATCGTTAGGAGCCCAGAAACGAACAAGTTGATCCGCTCCACCAGTAGCCAGTTCAAAACGTTGAGGATCAGGATGCCTTGTCATGCACCTTACAGGGTGCAAGTAACTTTCAATGCGGCTAACCCTCTTGGGTTCTCTTTTGTTCCAAAAGAAAATCCTTCCACATG